GGGGGGGGGGGGGGGGGTAGTCTGGAGAAGAGGAGGCTGAGGGGACACCTCATGGCCCTCTACAGCTGCCTGAAAGGAGGGTGCAGAGAGGGGGGGATGAGTCTCTTGAACCAAGTACTAAGCAATAGGACAAGAGGTAATGGCCTCAAATTGTGCCAAGGAAGGTTTAGACTAGATATTAGGAAGGATTTCTTTGCAGAAGGGGTTGTTGGTCGTTGGAATGGGCTGCCCAGGGCAGGGGGGGACTCCCCATCCCTGGAGGGGTTGAAGAGTCAGGTTGACCCAGCGCTGAGTGGAGTTGGGAACTGTCAGTGTGAGGTTCATGGTTGGACTGGAGGATCTTTAAGGTCTTTTCCAACTGAGACGATTCTGTGAAATCACCAGGATGGGAAATATCATTTCCCCTGTCCTCTCCCTGGGTTCCCCCCCAATCAGTTGCTGGGAACACAGATCTCCAGCTGCTGCCTTTTCCCCTGCTCCTGTTACAGACCTGCACAGGCTCTGGTGAAGCTTTTTGCTCCACGTGCATTTATTCCTTGCTGAGCTCGGTGACTCTGTGCCTTTCCTTCCCACACCACAAATCTCCAAGTGAAGACGGCTCTCACTTCTCTGGGGATAGGCTTTGAATGAGAACCTTGCTGAAGGAGGACAGGCGCTCTGTCACTCCATCTGTATCGGTGCTGCAGCCAGAAAAAACAGCCTTGCTGGATTGCTCCTCCCCAGGAACTAATTCAAGTATTAGCAGATGGAGGCAGAAGAATCCCTGGCAAGGAGGAACTTCTTTCAGAGGGTGCCCTCCCACTTCTGCAGCACCAGTTGGTGTTGCTTTTAGCCAGAGATTCTTGGAAAGTTCAGGGGTGTTTGTGTCACTGTAGAAGGTCCCAGCTAGAAATAGCAAAACCTCAGGCACTGGTGGTCCCTGACCCCCAGCATCCTGGCTGCCGCTATTTCTGAGTGAAAACCAGTTTGCTTTAAACAAGAGAATCCCATCCTAGCCCTGTATTTTGCATGGAGTTTTCTGGAGCTTATCTGGCATTTTCTCGTGTTGGGAGTTCAGCCAACAAACTCCCCTCCGCTGCCCTGAGCTCCATGTTACCCCAGGGATGTGGTTCCTCTCTGGCCAGCTGTTTTTGACAGTTGCTGAAGGTTTTCTGAGGTAACTCCAGCAAGACTGACCTGCCCGAGGAAGCCACGCACAGGACCTGCAGTACCAGGTCCAGTCTCGCTGAAGAGCCAGTGGGAAGCAGGACATTAAAAGTCAGGACACACTGCAGAAAATACATGGCTCATTCAACAACTCACGTGAAAGGCAGCGCCAGTCTCACCAAGCCGACCTCTCAGCAGAGGAGCTAATCCTGTGCTGCTCAGGGACAGCTCACTAACATTTTCCCATCCAGCCCCTGCTCTAACCATTTCTTAGGAGATGGACAGCTTTCCAGCCAGGGGGATAGAAAGCTGGGGCAGCTAAAAGAGGAAAGGAGAGCCCAGAGGCTGAAGCAAGCATCCATAACAAGACATTTACTGATGCGCAAGTCTCTGTTCTGAAACAGAATCAGCTGCTTCCCCTGGCTGAGCTCCCAGCAGCAGCTCAGCCAACCACCGAGCTGTGGTGGATAAAACAAGGAGGGTGACCAACATGGTCCATGGTCCCTCTATGTGCTCGGGTCCAGGACAAGGTCAGGGTCAGTGGAGACCATGAAGAGGTAGATGTGGTGGAATAAGTCTGGCCCAACATGGTGGTCTTTGCCACGGATGTCCAATTTCACCAGGGTATCACTCAGTAGGAGTCATTTTTCATCTTCTGTGCTGCATTCTTTGTAGGCCTTTGAGCACAAAAGAGAGGGAAGCAGTTAGCACAGATGCTCTCACAGAAGACTCCAGTCTCCCCTGCAAGGCTCAATCCCGTTGTACAGTGAGGATCCATGACTGAGCCTTCATCCAAACATACTGGGCTTGGGATAAAGCTCAGACGAAACAAGATCTATCACTTGGAGTTGTGTGTTGCCCCTCCAGCATACAAGGAGAGAGCTGTATAAGCCACTTCTTCCAAAGAGACTGTGCTAGTGACAGAGATCAAAGCTCCAGAGGAAGAAAAAGGAGAGTATTTGACTATGTGAGACTTCTTAAAAAAAATATTCTGTCACAGAACTCACTAAGGAGTTCAGGCAATTAATGCTCACAAAAACAAGCACTTGCTGATAAAAATGTCTTCATCAATTGGCTAAACTGCTGTCAGAATGGTCAGACAGCATCCTAGTCTAATCCTGCTCCCCCAATACCTCACTGAGTCAGTCTAGCTCATGAACCAGCAGAAGGCTAAGGGCAGTAGAGAGAATTTAGTGAACTAAATCATCTCCCTGAAGCATCAGACAACAGAAGAGCAAGGAAAGGAGTATGCTTCTGGTGACAGTAAGCAGTAAGAGTGCTCAGGTGTCCTGTGGAAATCCTTCACAGTCTGCATGGGTGACACAAGTTTTCTGCTTGAGGGTGATGTAGAGCTGTTGGACTGTAATGACAGCCACCCAAGACATCACACGTTTCAAATAAAAACAAGCAAAGCTGGTGGACAGACCATGTTGGACAAGGACAGTGGGATGCATCCAACAGATCCTCAGTTGCACTGGCTGGGGTTGGCAACCAAATGTATCACCACCAAAAACAGACAGATGCTTTGAGCAGGTCCTGTGAGGTGAGACCAAGGCAAGGAGAGGCCTGGAAGGGCTAACAGGAGGGGTAAACCATAGCTTTTGGTAGCTACTTAAGTCAAACACCCATCTGGAGACAAGCCTTGCCTTTCTGGAGATCGGATTTCACACTCAGGGCTTGTTTGCTCCATCAACAAAGACCTTTAAGTGAGAAAGCACGTGACACCCCTCCCTGCCTTCATCTCCAAGGTTTTAACAGGACAGAGGGGTTTGAGGGCTTACTTGTAACAGGAGGCTTGGGGAGGTATATGCTTCTGCTATAGCTACTGCCATTGCAAGGCTGACTCTGTTAAACTGCTGGATTTGTCTCTTCTACAACTGTTGGAGCCCTGTGCCATCCGTCTCCACTCACACCCCACTGGCCCAGGCCCCAGCAGTGCAGAAAGGCAACTCCTGTGACTGCAGCTGTCTCCTGCAGGCAGGCAGACAGACAGACAGCTGAGAGCAAGGCCTGAGGCCAGTGCGTGGTGCACTGAGCACAGGCCTGCAGACCCCAGATGCTGCAGCCTTCCCCCAGCATTAAACAGTGGGCTTCCTTCTAAACCCTCTTTCTGCTCAGGGCTAAATACTTCTTCCTCCTCAATTTTCTTTCCTTCCCTGCAAAGCTCCAGAACCCGGGGTGAAAACATTTTCCTCAGGTTGTCATTTTCCCTCCTTTCCTAGTGCTGAATCACCACTGCATTCACCACAAGAAGAGAGGATTTTGATCAGCAGAGACTGAAAATGATCTTGAGACACACTGAGTCTGGGCCCTTATGCTGACAGCGTCAAGGACAGGCTGGCAGCCACAGGTAAATGTTCCTGGAACTCCCACTGAGTTTCCCAAAGCTCTGGGCTTGGGATGTGACTGAGCCCAGTGACACAACTCACTTGTATGGGCGTTTTGTTATTGCCTTCATCAGCGCAGAGACATGCTGGCCCGACTCCTGCCATGTGTCTAGGAACAGCACTTCCCTGCTACCCCACAGCTGCAGCACCACCAGCACCTGGAGGAGAAGTGACGGAGGTGAAACACGCCACACACTGACCAAGAGGACAAAGACAGGCTTGGGTGGGCCAGCCCTGAGCCAGGCCAGCCCGAGGCCCTCGCCTTTGTCACCCCTCAGCCAGTAGTGCTGGTGTCAGCCCCAGCCACCAAGGGCACCCCGCGAGAGCAGCAAGGGAAGCCCACAGGTGGGATACGTCCCTCGGTGGGTGAAGCTGGGCTGGGCTGCTTGCATTAGCTCTGTTTGCACGGTGCTGCAGTAAAGCCTGCTCATCCTTCTTAGCTCCCAGTAAACCAGCGAGTCATAACCCCCTTTGGGGCATATTGAGGCAGGGCAGGAATTTAGTTCAAGGGATATCAAGCAAGGGTTTTGATGGTATTTGACCTAGTTTATGGCTGCTGTGACATCATGAGGAGCATTACTGCTCTGCTGTGGGACACGGGCTCTGCGAACAGAGACCTGAGCGAGAACCAACAGGTCCTTTCAAGGCAAACTGGGCAGTTGGTGGTTGTGTTGGGGAGGGGGGGCAAATCGCACTTGTGTGCAGAGGCTGGATTAGCTCTGAACCAGGGTCTTAAGAACAGGAGGCTGCAAACCGTGCCTTGACGTCTGCAGTCCCTCTTCAATCCCACTGCCAGCCAGTGTGAAGGAGGATGCAAGCGGATAAAACCTGATGCAAGCCAGTCACCACCCTCCCCGGCAAAGCAATCCTTATACACAAGAGCTCACCAAGTGGGAGACTTTTCCATAGAGCTCAACCCCAAGTAACATAAAACTTCAAGGACCATAAGAAGTTTTACCTCCAGTATCTCCTTTTGAGTCATAGACAGCACATAGTCTAGGCCAGGGTGGGATCTGGGACTCTGCTTTCCAGGGCTCAGCTCCTGGTTATACCTACAAGCAAGACACACTGCTCACACTCAGGCTCTACATCCACACACCTCAGGGCTGCTGTCTGATAAAGAGGAAAAGGCCAGACTTAACCCACCCACATCTGCTGCCTCGTGATCTGACTTGAACTTGGAGACAAAGGCATCAAGTTTGCTCCAGGCCACCTGCCCCCACCCTGGCGGGTGGCAACTCCCCTACGACAAGAGACCCAAAACCAGGGTGAGAGCTACTTGGTTCCTCTGGTGGCAAAAGTTGGCAGGCCACAGCTGATTTTTTTTTTTAATACATAACACTCTTGGTAAAATTTATCCTTACAGGCTTAAGCGAGAAGGACCCCAGGAAGTAGTGAGACAAGAGCTCTCCCTGGGAAACACTCCAGACAGGACAGACAGAGCTACCATAGCTGTGTCTATGTGGGGGGACTCTGGAAGTGATCACACCATCACCACAGAGGAGATTCCTCTGCTATGCACATACGTGGACAGGAAGGACACAGGCACTGGGAGCAGCACACAAATGAGACATCTGGAGGACAAGAAAAGGGCTCCAGGCATTGAACACTTCTCAGGGCCTTGAACAGCCAGGCAGTTCAGTGAGAGCAGTTCCCTCAGCTCCTCAGTATCACTGCAGCCCTCCAGCTGGGGTACAGACAAGCCTCACCTGTGAACTCCTTCTGGCTACAAGGTCCTCAGGGGCTGCTATAAACACAAAGTACACCCTCAAGACTGTAAAACCCAAGTCCTGGCCGCCAGGAACACGGACTTTGTGATTCACAGTCACCACGCTGGCATGACCATCAGCAGCTCAGCCCCAAATGTGTCCCCCCTGCAGACATGCTGATCTCCAGCCGCCGTGAGCTTCCCCCGGCACCACGCTCGCCTGGCACGTACAGCCTGTAGGCATCCAGCCCCACGACAGCCAGGCTGTAGGTTTTGGTGTAGGAGCCCTCCAGACCAGCCAAAGGCAACACTTGGTTCAGGTCAGGCTGACTTGCTGATGGGGCACTGGAAAGACTCTGAAGCGAGACAAATCACACCCAAGCCTGTAGCAGTCTTCCTCTCTGAAACAGCCCCTCCCCATCTCTGGCAGGACAGCCCAACCTTCCAAGGTGCATCTCATCAGTGGGAAGGGCCAGGAGCCAGCCTCAGACTGCAGCCCAGAGTGTTGCCTCTGGGCATGCACTACAGGCCACATCTGCCAACATCCCACTGCTTCTTCTGGTTCACCTTTCTCCCTGGAGCGTTAGCACTGATCTCCTCACAAATGAGAACTAACACAAATCTCTCTGCTTCAAAATGCAAATGTTTCCAAGGGCTGAATGCTTCTTTCTGGAAAATCTTTTATGGACTCCATGAGAATGGAAAAGCTAAATGCAAGGAAAGGCAAGTCTGGCCTGCCCAGGTCCCCTCTGAGGAAAGCAACACCCTGTCCTGGAGTTAATGGTGGGTGCCTGCATATATCCCTAAAGATATGTTGTGCTCAGATTTGGCTTCTCCCACAAGCTCTCTCCTTTCAAACCACCACCCTCTGTAACAGAGCTTTGTGTCAGGGGGGAGCAACAGCAGTTTTAAATGAACCCTCCCTCCCCTTCAGTGTTCACTTGGCAAAGTGACTCTGCTGTAAAACACTTTGTGTGGGTCTGGTGCTGAGATCTGTATCACCTGGGTTAGGGAAAAGAGGCGCTTAAGAAAATCTTCTGGCTCTACCAACACCAACATCTCTTTCTCCTCTTCAGTCTTCACCATGGGGCTGTCCCGAAGAAGAGGAAATAATTTCCAACACAAGCAGGGGTCCAGCATGAAAGCAGACAGCAAGTCTCCACCTGTGCAGAGCCCACGCTGTAAGAAGTACTAACACTCACAAGGTTACGTCAATACTATACTGGTGGAAGACCATGGCTAAACAGGGAGGGTTTTTACCTTTCAGAACAAGCAGATCACCGAAGGTACAAAAACAGCCTGGCGAGGAAGGCAGTGACAACTGCAGAAGTTGCTAAGATGAAAGGACACAAAATGCCTTTGTCTGCACTGCACACCGTTAGATGACCACATTATCTGCACCTACGTTATCTGTAGTCTATTATATGACTGCAATATCTGCAATGTTTTATCCAGCAACAGCAAAAATAGAGTTCTGCCTCTGCCTGAAATTGCTGGAGTAGAGTTGAGTACAAGAACAGCCCTACCTCAGCCTCCATGGCCCGCGGATACCGTTTGACACAGAACCATCCAAAACCAAATTGGAATGGGAACTGTATTTGGCACCAGAAGGTACCTGCCCAGTGAGCAGGGCTCGTGAAGCAATCTCTGGGCCTTCCAATGAGGGGCCTGGCAGCAAATTTGCCCAGCCTCTTCCAGACATGCAGTTGTTGCCTGTGGCAGCATGCCACACACAGCATCTGGGCTGGAAATGCTGCTGAGCACCCAGGTGAAACCTCTGTATGAATGACTTGTAGTGGTCTCATTCTTGCTTACTAAAGGCTCCCCAGGCTCTACCCTAGATGGACAACTGTCTAAAACAATGAGATGTAGATGTTTAAGAGACACTGGCTTTGGAATAATCTGTATGAGAATCAGATCCAGCTCCCAAGCTAACTGGTCACCAGCAATCAGTGTTTCTGAGGCTCCAGTGCCCAACCTAGCAAGGCAACTCAAAGCTTTTTCCCCACAGCACATTAGTTGCCAGTTTTACATGTACAGAGAAGATGAGAAGGACTCATGAAGTGGACAGTGTTTGGCATGTTTCTCCTCCAGGTTATGCTGCAGGGAATTGCCTGAGGCTCAAAAGAACATTTACAGTCTAAGGAACTTAAAACCTTCACCCAAGCATCTGAGCCAGGATCTTTGAGGAGACTTGCAGAGAAGGACAGAACATCATGATGAGAGAAAAAGGGGTACTTCATCAGAGTTATTAAACAACAACAAAAATGCAAGTGTAAAACAAGGAATTCTGTAAGTGTGGAAAGTCTGGTTGCCTACAGTGCACATGCTTGCCGGCTGGATTGCTAACTGGGTTATTGATTCCATTGTTGACCATCTCTGCAGGCACCTATAAAATTGTCCTTCTTCACTCCAGCCAAGTACCTGGACGGTGACAGGCAATTTGCCATAACAACTCTAAAAATCAACTTGTGCTTTCTAGGTTACTAAAGGCAAACTTTCAAAGCCAGTTTTTCTGTTTCCTCAAGAACAAACTTAATAAATTTGTAGAAACTTAATTATTTTTGACATCTCTCAGTGAAAGAAGACTGAAATTAGACAACGAGCTGAACAATCAGTCACTAGGAAGCCAGGTTTCACCTACCGTGCACAGCCCCGACACCTCCCTCGATGCTCCCTTCAGCCCTGTTCCCATCCCCTCCTGTGCCAGGCTAGACACACACATGGATATCAATCACTGTGAGGCCCATGGAGAACATGCTTTTAACTACTGGCTCTGCAAGTACGGTCAATCGTAGCTAAAGTGAGTTGGCAGCATCCTTACAGGTGTCTGCAACCTCATCAAACTAATTGTTTAGACTGTTTTCTTTGACAGATGCCTGCTCTAGCCTGAATTTGTTTGAGATGTTTCAACAAAATAGTGCAGCTGTTTCTAAGAATGCAAGGGAAGGGTTGAGAACATGCTGTTTGTCCACCTGAAAAATATCAACACCTTGTTTTACGAGGGAGCTTTGCCAGCCCAGCCCCAAGCTGCTCCCTGGGGCAGGATGGACCTTCAGGGTGTGGATCTGGGTGCTGCAGGCACAGGACAGGCAGAGTGCTCCTCCGTGCTGCCCGTGCTCCCTCTGCCGGCACCCGGGAAGAGGAGGAGGAGAAAAGCCTCTGGCTGGTGCAGTGGAGAGGAGGGTTGGGAAGGCAGAAGCAGGCCTGAGCAGGAATGGGGGCAGAAGAGAGGAGCAAGAACTAAACTGATTAGCACTGGGGTAGAGGAGAATGTGAAACCCAGGGACAGGAATTCTGAGGACTTGGTGGGGGTCTAATTGCCATGGTGGGGTTTTAAAAGTGAAAATCCCACAGCATTTTCTCTGGCAGGCTCTGCATTAGACCAGCCAGCCTGCCTCATCAGGCTGACCCCACTCAAATGGGACCCTTCACCTGGAGAAAAGCCACAAAAATACACTTCTGGAACCTTCACCACTTCCTGAGCACCAGCTGTGCCCACGATTTCACAGCAAATTCCACAACAGACAGATGACAGTATTTATCCTACAAAGACTCTTCTAGTGGCAGAATAATAAGCACAACAGGACTGTGTTGGAGCAAACAGGAACAATCTTTCTCGTCAAAACCATGCTATAGACTCCCAGAATATAACCTCTCAGTATTTTATTGGTGCAAACATGGTAATAATTTACTCAAAACTGTGTAGGATAAAGCAGCTGGATCCCTGCCATCCAGAGAACCAACAGAACCTGCCCAAGACCTGTATGGAAGAGAACAAGCAAACTAACAAGTCTCTAAACAAAACGTTTAAGGATACAAACCACATTTCCTTAAAAAACATCTTTAGTTAAACAAACCTTGCTGGTAGCAATTTACTTGTGGAGTGAATACGTAGCCTAAGGATAACATGATTAGCAAAAAGTGGCAAGTGACATGCTAACGAACAGAGCAATTCAAGATATAATGTTTACAGCTCTAAGGATGAGCTGCAGCTTGGATTCAAGCTGTTGGGAACTGGGACACAGTGTCACACTTGTCACACCTGCCACTCTGCCCCTGACAGTGACCCTGCACTGCCCAGACAAGCTGCAGGGCAAGGAACGGGCCGGCAGAACCGCTGCCCCTGGGACAGGGGATTGGGAACGCGCTCCAGGCAGTCAGATGTGTCAGGGGCTCAGCAGCAGCACTTGCAAGTACTGGGAAAGAGGCAGGATCCCAGGGACACACTGGCAGCCAGCACTGAGGAGCAAGCTACCTCATTTTCTGCCAGCAAAGCTCTGTGTCATTACCTATGGGGTCCTGCTGCCTTGAACATCCTCCCTGAGCTGGCAGCGCAGCTCTGGAAGCAGACCCAGCCCTCTGTGAGAACATATTTCAGGCGCTGGTATTTCCAGAGGCCTATCTTGAAGCTGAACCGTGAGGCAAGTCCCAGATGGCAGGTAACATCGGCCAGCCCGAGCAGGAGGTCGAGCTGCAGCTCCTCTTATCTCTTCATAACAACCCCTGAGGACGCGAGCACATGAACAGTGGGAGCTCGCTGCCCCAGAACTAGATCAGAAGCCCAGCTCCCAGAGCCCTCTGGGGCCAAAGCGCTGCCCTTCTGCTTCTGCAACAGAAGCCCGGAGAAGTTAAGAGCTTATTTTCCAGAAGTGCCAGCCTAGGCCTGTCAGCCCCGGAGCTGGAGCACTCGTCCTCTCTCTGTGGCGCTCGGGGAGAAGGCGGGGACCTCCTGCAGCTTGCCCACTGCAAGACATCCCCCGCTACTCTGCGGTCACGGGGATAAGGCGGCCGAGAGAGCCCCATCGACACCCAGGGGGCTGCGTGGGCCCCCGCGCCTGTCTCTTA